GGGTTTCCTACACCCCACCGGAGTATTGAAGGGTTAAAATTGCAAGGGATTATGAAGGTGCTTTGGTCAGTAGTATGATTTTATTTTTTGCTAATTTTGATTTTAATTTCTTTTTGCTAATTTTAAAATGGTAGAAGGAGAGTAATATTTAAAAAGAGGTTTGGGATAAAAATTTATAAAAAGAGTAAATTATGTTTAAAAAAAAGTCTAAGAGAATTGTGAAATTAATGACGTGAAAGGGATACAGAACCCTTTGAAGGGAAATACTCTAAATAACGATAAAGAATTCTCATAAAGGTAAAAAGAGTCAAAGTGACTAAAGGTTCATGAAGTTTAATAAAATCTAATACAATAGGATTCAAAGTGTAAACCAAAGTAGTAATTTGCATTAATAATAAAAAGAACAAAAATATACAACTAGAATTCAAACTTAAATCTGTTCATATGCTTATTTATTTTCATTAATATGTATTATATATATATACTATATATATGTATATATATATATATATATATCAAAAAAATAAAACATTATTATTATTTTTCCATAATACAAGCATTAATGGATATTGTTAGACAGCCTGATTTTGGTCGATTTTTAAAAATGGCCACTCAAGATTTTATCCAAAAATTTATCATTCAATCCTGGAAATTTTGCTCATAGATGACAGAAAGGTTTGAACATCTATTTTAGATAAAATCTTAATTGGACTTTTTTTAGAAATATAAGCAAATCGGGCCATTTAACAATGTTAACAATAATATATATATTTATTTGCTTTCCCTCAAAATAATTAAGACTTAGCTTAAGGAGTGTAGAAGTCACTGGGCATAATATAAAAATTGTGTCCTATTCTAATATGTAACCCCCGCCGTTCATAAAATACAAAAGTCGTCTCTTTAGTTAAAAACAACAGAGCAACGCTTGATTCTTCACATGTCCATCAAACTAGGTAACACTTTAAGGGGTGGAAATTAAAATAAGAATCATCAGCCAATTTTTGGGCAGCTAGAGTTACATGTGCGATCACAAACTAGATCCATGCTTAGACTCATTTGGATAATAAGAAGGTAAAAAAAATCCAGTACCCCATTTAAATAGGAGTTTCTAATTAGCGATGGGTATGGCAAGATTTTCCAATTAAGTATATTTAGATTATTTGGTTCACTATAAGTAAGATATTTTCCATAGTACATAAAGATTGAATATCTTAAGAATTGAATTCAGATTTTCCTAAATAAATAAAGTTTAATATTATTCAAATTCTCTAGTTTCTTCACAGCAAATTCATACAATTTGATAATTTATTACATGTTATCTTCTCATAATTTCATAAAAGTGTAATGACAGATCATTGTTATTTGAAATGTCAATACTCTTTATTAGATAATTCAATAACTATTTGAATGTGTATTTACCATATACCATAGTTTAACCAAAAATATTGATTTATTATCTAAATCCATAGTCAAAGCCGTTTAATCGCAAAGGCTTGGGACCAACATATTAAAAAATTTCGCAATTATCCGATTTTTCGCAATTATATTATTAAAAATCAATAATTTATTAAAAATTAGTTTGTGTTTTTTATAAAAATATTTATCATCTATATATATATTAAGCATATAAACCTTCAAAACTATTAATAAATACAATTTTTAATTAATGTAACAACTATATATTTGAATAAGTTTCAAAACAAATAAAAAAGATAAATTATAAAAATTTGTCTAGTATGTTTAAACATATGAATTTGATTTTTTCCTACGTAAATATCAAGAATTTTTAAATAAGTGGATTATTCTATATTCAAACGATAATTTTTATAAATACTATATTTCAATAAATGTATTTCATACATTTATGTAGACTTTATATGTAAAGCTAACTTTTTAATTATATAATTTTTTTATCTTTGAATATATTTTCTTTAATCTTTGTTGATTTTTCTAAAATATCTAGTGGCTAATTATGAAAACATAAATATTAAACATTAAAAAAATTTATATTCTGTCTTTTCTAAATCTCTGCGCTGTTAGTATGAATGCCTATAATTTATAATTATATGTTATAAAACTTAAATTTATCTTCATTGAATGTTATGCTAAAAAACATAGCCTTTTCTAACATCACTGGCCCGTTTAGATTTCAATTTTTATTTCTCGTTTGGGTAAACTAAACCAATGCTTATGTCTTTGGGTAACAACTCATTCTAACTCTTTTAGTTTCAGGGGATTTATTCCTTAGAAATTATGAGCATATACTACTTTATTAGTTTTCAATATGTGAATTGTGGAAACATGGCATTTATGCCTTAATGCTAACTGTGTTTTTGAAATAGTGCATAATTTTTTAATGATTTTCCCATTTTCTTGAGGATTAAAGTTTGGAATTATGTTTTATTATGAAAATAATTTTAGCATGATTATAATGTATTATAAAATTATAATTTTTGTATTAAAAAAAGCTAAAGGTGCAGTTCATATGAAAGAAATAAAGAATAAATTTTTTTGATAAGACATTTTAATTTTTCACTTATCCAAATAAATTAACGTTATTGCCACACAAATGGGATCTGAAAAATTTTACATTTATCCTATATTTCGCATTTAACCGATTAATTATACATGTAATTTAACATAATATGATAGTAATTTTTATCAAAATTAAATTGTTTGACTCTACTTGAAAATAATTGTTTACACAAATAATTATGTAAATATTTTGCTATTAAAAAATTGTGAAATAGAGAATAGTGATTGAATTTAATGTTGAAGATCTCTTTTTCTTCCATTACTATACGTTTGTTTCGTATAGTATCCAGGGTTGGGCAAATTTTCAGAAAATTTTATTCGGATACAGATACTTTATAAAATTTTGTATTTAGTTTACAAGATACTTTGGAAAATTTCAATAAGATACTAGATACTTCTAACTTTTTTAAAAAAAATATCTAAGATACAGGATACTTTTTTAAAAAACTAAATAGTCAAAATCAAAATGTATCAGGCTTTATGTTATTACTATATAATTTGAAAATAAATTGTAGAATAAACAAATTTGTTATATAAGATAATGCGATTATAAAGATATTTTTTTGAAAAATGTATATTATAATGATGAAAACAATAAGGAGAAAATATTAATTAGTAAATAATCAATAAATCAACATCATAAATCAGCATTATTTTTTAATATTATTAATTTTTCAAATAATATGACGTTCAGTCTTTGATGATTTGGTCTATATCATATTAACAATGCTGAATAATCGTACAATGGGGGCAGAGAATATTTTGTGTTAAATTTAATAAATATTTCTTTTAAATATTCATAACTATTTAACATATTTATATTGCAACTATCATCTTTCATAAAATATTTATTGAATTATTAGAATTGGATATGATACTTTTAAAACAATAGTAATCGTTATTTTCGTCAATTGAAGATTTTGTTGACATATTAATTTCAATATTATCTTTAAAAATAATTAAAGCTTCATGTATTAATAAATCCTAAAGATATTTTTTTTCTTTCTTTTCCACCATCAATCCAACTATTTTTAAAGTAGGATGAGAAATAGTGGCCAAAAATGCGCTTTTAAAGTTACTATCAAATTGATATTTATTTTAAAATCTTTTATTTAAAGAACTTTCTATTGCAATAGCTATTGATTTGAATTAAAGTAGATCAGTTTGAATTAAATTTGTTATTTTTTAAACGACATTTAATATTAGAACTGATTCTCTATAGCAGGATTTCGCTTAGTATTTTGTCAATCACATCAATGGGGACATTATATTGTATTTCAATATCTCTTAGTTTTGGAAATTATAATTTTTCACATAATTTTGAAAGTTCTATTCTAAATTTTAATAAACTAGTAAGGCTATCAAACATATCATTTTTTGGCCTAGTGTTTAAATTAATAACATCTTTTTTTATTAATATTTATTTTCTTATTTTTTTCATAGATGATTTATATAAATCTTAATTTCATTATCAATCTTTAACAAAAAATTTATTTTAAAATGCCTGTAAATTTATACAGATTGACATGCGATTTATAATAAAATTATATATTATATTTTTAAATGCAAAACAAAATTAGATGAGGAGTCCCAGAGCCACTAATAGATTTGTGGCATTCTTTACATTCTGTAGGAATTATATTATTTGTATTGGTATGTCCATGTTGAGTGACTTTAAAAAATTCTCCATTTTAAATACTTAATTTAAATTTATATTTATATTCTTCTGTAGCAGAATCATCTGATGAATTTAAAGATATTATTCTATCTCTTCTTTAATCATTATTTTAAAATAGATGTATATATAAAATATGGTAGTTGTTTATGACGACCAACGTCATATATTATACATGATCTTAATATATCTAAATTCGCATTAAATTTTTCATTTTAATTTTATAATAAATTAATACTATTTAAATTAACTTGTGATTTTTTTTAAAGTATCTGTATCTTTTTAATACAAAGTTGATTAGATACAAATACTTTTAAATAATTTGTGTCTTAGATACAAGAAACTTTCCAAAATTTTAAAAGGATTCAAGATACAAGATATTACAAATATCCGCGATACTGCCCAACCCTGATAGTATCATATTATGTATAAAGATTTCGTAAGTTTAAGATTTATTAATTCTCTAAAGATCATTGGGATGTTATACAATTAAATAATTTGTGCGAAGAATGTAAGATGTTTCTTTAATAAAGAAAAATGAAAATATTTTCATTATGCAACGATTGCCGGAAAACCCCCGTAAATATCATCTGTTTTTCTTTGTCAGATAATTTGGAGGAATATTTACTTTTATCAATGGATTCTATTGTTGACTAGGTTATGGTAGCATTTTTAAATCACACGGTAACAAATATTTTATAATTTTCTTGATAGAAAAATTCCAAAAAACAAAAGTATTTATAATTAAATCAGATTTATTTGTAAACATTTCTGATAAAATTAGGAATTCCATCCAGATTTATCAGCTGTCATTGATTTTTATGAAATATTTACAAATAAAAAGTTTTATATTATTTTATATAAGAAATCATCATTTTTCTTTTAGAAATACATGCGTTTCTTGAAAAAACTAATTTTCCTTATTCAATAAATATTATTAATAATGAAAAAACTGATTTTCAATTTGTTGCACAATGCCTGCACTGGCTTTTAAAATTGTATTTAAATAGATAATGATTAATAATTATTTGACTAATAGGTTTGATCATGGCTCTGATATTAAATTTAAGCTAACAACTCGTGAAGAGAGACTTGCGTATCTTGTAAATGTTACTGATTATTGGGTATTAGTATTTATGTTATCAATTATATGTGCTAAATCAATTTAAGATGAAATATCATTCCTTAAAATTGGATCCATGTGCATTATATGCTGCTGAAGATGGTGCATTATTAGAAATATATAAAATTATTGAATATATAGATAAACTATTAAATATAGATGTATCTAATAGTGTTACTCACTGTCAATATGATTTAAAATTAATGGTTTTTAAAACTTTTAATGCTTATAAATATAATATATCATTAGTCAAACAGTATTATAGATGTAAAAAATGATCTTAATCATATGGTTGATGAAAGTTCAAGTTTGTTTAATGATCTAAAAAAAGAGGAAGAATATTTTGTAAGTTAGGAATAGTTTATATGATTTATAATGATAATAGGCAATAATGGATGGAGCACTGAAAAATGAAATTGATATTAACACATTAGAAAGTTATATTGATACAACCAAACAAAACACACAGGTTATTATTTTAGAAACCTTTCAATATAACTATCATGGGTGTATCCAGGATCTTGGTAAGAAGGAGAGGGGAGACTTTTCAGTGGATTTTGCTAGCCATCAATTTTATTGAATATATTAGCCTTCCTATTTTTCAAAGGCCCTTATCCCAATAAAAAATTTTTACAGTAATTTTAATTTTTCCTTTTTTTATGCAAGATAATCCTTTTATTTCATTATTTTTTAAAAAAATTTATACTTATTTTCAAAAATATTGATAATGACATTGTACTCATTTTTTTGAAAGAGATGGAGGGATGTAGGAGTAAATTTTTATTACATTAAAATCATGAAAACTAGGAAATTTACTACTCCTTTCTCATTATGCCAATGATAACTATAATCCATTTTATATACTGAATTAAATTGCTGGGCACCTTTATAATTAAAATATAGAGCTTTCTGAATAATAGTTATTCTCCTATCTACCAACAAGACTGTCTTTTTAATGGTAATTTTATGATAATAAAACAGTTTAAATAATTTTTTGACCCAATGGATTAGTTTATATAATATAAATAATGTTAATTCATGAAATGTTTTTTATTCCTCTCTTTTAAGAGTATTCATTTCTATTCAATTAGAGGATCGAGTTTCATATCTACCTGACAAAATTTATGACCTTTAGATAATTATTCAAATTAATATGCATATTTTATTTAGTTCAAAAATTAATCAATAGAACTTATGACTAGACTAATTACATTCTAAAAAAAAATTTCAGGAAGAAATGTTTAATGAAGAAAAGAAACTAAAAGAGTTGAAAAATGAAAAGTATAAATTAATAGGCAAGATAGGAAGAAAAAAGGATGAACATCTCAAAAATAAAACCAGACTAGAGTCTATGAATGCAATGATGTATTAATTTATAGATATATTTATAGGATTCATAAAAAATGAGTTCCCTTTTCCTTCAAAATTCAAATAATCTATTGCATTTAGAAAAAAATATCTATAGATTATTCGAAATCTGATTTAGACAGGAAAGGGTAGGTACTTGGAGACCATTCCCTCAAAAATTTATTTGTCCTCAATAGAAAATTTAAGTTTTGTTAGGTTGTGACATAAACCTAAAGAAAGAGAGCGGATGGTTTTGAAAATTTGATTGATTATTTTAAAACTAAAAATTCCATCCTTTCTTTCTTTCTAAAGTTTTTAAAAAATATTACAAAAAAAAAGCTTATCACTTGTTTTTCGATAAAGTTTTTAAATTTTACAAATTAAATTCTTTGATATTTTGGACGCTGTCTTTTTAAGCATTAATTTAGAAAAAAAAAATTATTACAGATTGTTTATAGTTTTTAATACTGTAATAAACATTCGTATTTTAATATTCTCCTCATTTCCGGATCCCATTTAAAAAAATATGCCGCACCTAGTATTATTAGTACACATGGGAAAAGGATAGCAGAAAGTTAGCGAGGCCATCAAGTGCCTGCCCTACTAAGCGAAAATTTATAGTTAAGGCTAGTTATGCAAAATAGCTTGAGCCAATTTTTAAAAACGGTAAACTCACCAGCTTTAGGTCATTTATTAACAAAATCTATAGGTTTTCCTAATATTTTTCAGAAAAAAATACTAAGTTAGCCGTGTTTTAAAAATCGGCTCAAATGGAGCCATTTTGCATCACCAGTTACGGCCCAAAATTTAGATAATTAATATGCTTATTAAATTATTAATTATTTTAAAAGGTCATAATAATCTTCTGCATATTTATATAGACCTTCTCATGCTGACGAATTAGAAGCGTTGGAAAAGCGTATTAAATATCTCAATAAACTATACATAACAAAGCACAGAAACTTATCCTTCTTAACTAGCAAGATGACTCATAACAATTCACATGACGCCAAATTTTAAACAAGTGACATCTACGCTAAGTAATTTGGACAACTATGACACTTACGAAGAATAACACAAGAGAATGGAAAAAAAATTAAAATGATCTCATTTCCGGATTACAACTTTAAAAAAAATAATATTTTATTTATCTTTTTACAAAAAACTATTCAAGCAGCATTAATTATTATTTCAATACATAAAATCACTAAAAAATGTCTTCTTTGTTTTTCCTAAACTAATCCTTTAAAAATTATATATTTTTTAGCATAAACAACATCTGCAGAGACAAATACAACAGCACAAAGGAATCATTGCTATAATGAACAAGATCAAATACATGATTGTCTTCATGGACATGTTGCAGGTATACCAGAATGTGTCAGCCATATAGCACTCCCCGGCGAAAGATGGTAATAGTTTCCCCTCGGGATACGTGCGGCAAGATTTATCTTTAATGCAAAAATAACAATTGTGGTGTATAGGTGGAGTCGGATCATTTGGCCCCTTTTCGCTCTGATTGTGATGCTGCTTTTCGTCTATATTATGCGTCTCGACCTTGAACACGTTTTTCATGCAAATTTCGCAAGTGGTATTGGAATACCTTTTGCAAGGATCGAGAATCCCATGCTTTCGGGCTAACTCCCAGTCACCTACTGAAAGCGACCTGCCTTCTTTCGGGTCCATCTCATTTTCAACGTTACTCAATAACACTTTGTTAGTCTTGGTACTTAAATCAGCCGCTCCTTTCGAGTTGATCGCGATAAATAAAAGGAATAATATTAGTCTTAGAATCATTTACTTGAAGAGTTTTCGTTTAAGGATAAGTATTTTTACACCATTTTTCGACAATAAAGTAATTCAGCATTAAAATAAAAGTTTATTATAAGATAATCATTAGGAAAGAGAAAAAAAATAATAATTTAAGATAACAATCGATGATGATAAAAAAAGACAAAATATGTTAAATCTAAATATTTTACGAAAAAAAAATATATATTTCAAAAATTGTTTGTTGGAAGAAAAAAACGTTTTGTTTAAATTTTTATTTTCACTTTATTTTTTTTTCTAAATTAAACCTAACTAATGTTGCCAAATATTTGTATTCGCCAAAGCCTTAGGTCATTTTTATATTTTTTTTAAAAAAAAAGAAAAGGATAAGTTGTTTATCTCTTACAAAACTTACAATTTATTATGATATAAAAAATTATTTTAATTTTTTTGATAGGCTCGCATCTTATAACGAATCTCGATATTATTAAATTTTCAATTTATAAGAAAGACCCTCATATCTAGGTATTGTTAAGCCCGATTTAGGTTGATTAAACTTTTAAATAAAATAATATTATGGTAAGCGTCGAGATTTGGCAAATAGATATCCTAACATTTCTGCCAACTATAAGCAAATTCTTTAGGCTTGCATAATGTTATTTAAGTCATAATCTTAATCGGGCCGTTTTTTATAATCAACCCAAATCCTCAAAATTATTGTCGCTGCTTTAGGAGAAATGGAGATCAAAAGGCTTTCTGCCTTAAGGGGGGGGGAAGGGTTCCCGATGACTGTAGAAAAATATTTTAAAGGGTAAAGGTGATGTAGGTGACTGTTAAAAACTATAAGAGAAAGGAGAGTAAGAGATCAATTCGGATTTAGAAGTTTACTTCGGTGTCAGTCTAGGGTGGATTATGACATATTGCTAAAAAAAATGTTTTATGAAATTGTTTGAGCCAAAAAGCAGTATCGTATGTAAATGGAGATATCTAGAGATCTTTGAAGTGGAAGTAGGTTTTACATCAGGTGCTCAATACTGAATATCATCTTTTATTTTGGATGCATGAATTCAAACCCAACTTTTAAACAGGTATTAACCATTATTATCTATCGGGCCTAATTAAACCATTAAAAATTTTATAAACACCTGAATCTGATAATATCTGGGCCCGGGGTTGGTTCGAGCTTATAATTAATCCAGCCGAGATCATGAATTTGGAAATCATGACTGGGTCTATTTTTAAGAGAAAAAAAATTGTATCCATTGACCAGTAAGTCTTATAATTTTCCGAAAAGTTGTTTTTAAAATTTTTTAATTTTATCATGTAATAAAAATAAAATATTTTATAATCAAGAGCCAGTGTCATGAATGGGAAGACATCTATGTGCCAACGCATTCTTGCGCTATATGTGCATCGATTATGCTCTGGCTGTTTAAATCGCCTTTTAGATTTTGGTGTATAGAAAAAAATAATAATAAGTTGTAATATTTTGTAAATAGATATATTTAATGTAATACTTTGATATCCAATACTTGCATAGGTTGTAAAATTTTGTGATGATAAATTATAAGAATATCTAAGGTTTTTATATGGCATCCTACAGTTGCATAGAAAACTTAAGATATAGGATCATCTATTTGTATAGAAAAAAAATAATAAATAAAATCAACAAATAAAAAATATATAAATAAATACGTAGCGATGACATGATGTAATGAGGGCATCGGAAAATTATAATATAGATAATGTATTTTATATGTAATTCTTCGCTATAACTATTATAACAAAAAAATAATTTCTCTATTTTTTGTTTTAACATGCCCCTACCATTTTTTTTAGATTAATAGCGTGCCCTGAGGCAAATTTTAGGGCTGCGGTACTGTTAATATGCCTAAAAATAAAATGAAATATATTTTTTTATATGTTATTTTATACACTGAAATATAAATTAAAATTGTCATCATTTATATAAAATAAAACATCTTATAATATACTCAATAAATTGAAAAACGTAGGTACATTTTCCTACAAAATCAACATCCAGGCTTTCAAAAAAAAGTAGCATATCAGTTATGATAGTTAAATATATATTTCACATAGGCAATTAATAAAATAAGTTTGTTCTTATTCATTAAAATATGTAAACTTTTTAAGCGATTGGGGTAAATATGAGTAAAGTGAATGAATTTATTAAAGGGTTCTGCGAATGCGGTAAGAATCCCCTATGCTTCTTAAAATAGTTTTTACATTTTGGGAGATAAACTCTCCTTCCATTCCAACAAATTAAAGGTATAGTTAAAGCAGGAGGTTGGTGGTAATGTTAATTGTAAGATATACGTATTAGGTCCACGAATCTAAATCCAGCGTCATTTTAATTCTTTCATTCACATTAAAAATTTGAGTAGACAATTATAAATATATTTTATAAGATTTTTAAGTTAAACTAGCTCTTAAAATTTGGAGTGCTAAATGTAAAAAATTCAGAGTTGTTAAAGGATCTAGATACAAGTATCTAGATATAAAAATGTGGTATCTGTATCTAGATAGATTTTTGATTAAATAATCTGTATCTAGATATTTTAGACGTTGTGTCTGTATCTAGATCCATTTAAAAAGTATCTTTTGACAACTCTGAAAAAATTAATTAAAATTAAAAAAATATTATATAGTATTTGTTTCATTTAGATAGATATATGTATATATATATATGCTACCAGTAATCAACGTAATCAGGCAATTACCATATTGCCTGACTGATATTTCAGGTAATTAGTCTAATTTTAGTATATTGTGAAAATAAAAATTGAAAATAACTTAAAATTTTATGACCAAATTATCTTAAAAATATAATATTGATATTTAACTCATTGAAATACATCTTCGGCAATTTCCAATAAAAAAAAGGCGCTCAGCATATTATTTTCCTTTGTTTCCAACTTAATAGGATTAATTTAGCATTTTTTAAATAAAAAAAATAGAAAAGTCTGACTTTGCCGGGTAATGTATTTCAATATATGTGTAATATGCCTACCCTATAAATTTCAAATAATTTTATAAGATATTTTCACATATTTCCTGAATTACCCGGCTGCAATACCCCGGCAATATGCGTATTGTTTTATTAATATCTAAGTCTATCAGTATAGTGGAGAGAGAGACCGGGGATCATGTGAGCCATACAAACGGCAATAAAATCGAATCTAATTTACTTTTACATTACATATATGAAATCATAATAATAAATAAGGTAAAATACGCATTTATTCACTTTTTAACACTAAATTCAATAAAGGAGCATTAGTTATTTTGTTTAAATACATAAAAATTACTACTAAACATTCAGCAAAAACATTTGCATAGACAAATGCAGCAGCACAAAGAAATCATTAATATCATTATCAAGATCATGTACATAATCGCTTTCATGGACATGATACAAGTTTTCCAGTAAGTGTCAGACATAAAACACTCCCCAGCGAAAGATGGGAAAACACTCCCCCCGGGATAAGATCGGCAAGATTTATCTTTAAAACAAAAATAGCAATTCTTTTTAGGTGGAATCGGAGTTTCGGACCCTTCCTTAACTTGCACCACGGATTTGAAAAGACATACGCCGCAATTGGTATTCGAATATTTTTTGCAAGGATCGAGTAAGTGGCTGTTTTTACCATGATTATCGGTTGACTCCCAATCGTCATAGAGCAATTTCCCTTCTATCTGCCTTCCATTTTTTACCTTGCTCGAAAAGGGTTGGTTGAGTTTGGCATTTGATTCATCAGATCCTGTTGAGTCGATTATGATATACAGAAATAATACGAGTCTTAGTATCATTTAAGTCGAAGAGTTTGTTTTTTTGTTAAAACATAATTTGTTTCACCATTCTTCGAAATATAAGTAATTCAGCATTAAAAATAAACTTTTATTTTAAAATGATCATTAAGGGAGAAAAAAAATATATGGGAATAATCGTTGCCGATTGCAAAAATAAAAATTATATCTAAAAAAAATAATTTATTGCTTAGATTATATATTTTAAATTTAAAATATTTTTTTCTTCCAAACATTTGATTGTTGAAAATGTTATATAATCTAATTAAAATTTTTCGAAAATTTAGCCAAAAGTCATTTGCCAATATTATATACTTAATTTTCTCAAGCCCTTAAATGCATGCGTTCCATCATTTTAAAAAAATAATAAGTGGGATTGTCTCTACCTAATAAAAGTTACCTCTATATATATAGCGTCAATGTGATTTTTACGGCAATGTGTTATTTTTACAACTTTAAATCATTTTTTGAGCTCGTTTATTTTAAATTTTAAAATCGAATTTTACCAGAAATATATTCTATCATGTTTAAAATACTTATCTTATGAATTGTAGACAATTTTGTCTTTGAGTCATTTATAATTTATATATAAAAAATATATGGAAAATCGAATATAAATTATATTAAGTTTAAAAGTTTATGAAAAAATTGTCTGAAATTCATAGGGTAGGTATTCCAAACATGATGAAATACATTTCCGGTAAAATCAGATTTTTAAATTTTTAAAAACTTGTTCATAAAATCGATTTAAAGTTGAAAAATAACACATTGACGCTAATATATATATATTTGATATGAAAAATTAATTATATAAGTTTAGGAAATAGGTAGATCAATTTTTTTTTCTTCATTAATAACAAGGTTTTTTTAATATTATTAATTCACAATTATAATAAAACACCATAGGGATAACAATTCCTCTAGCGAAATACTTCAACGCTTTATAGGAAGCGGATCGAATGCATTAATAGGGTTTCTTTTCCGATACGGATACCACGAACACCAATTCTGTTTCGGAGAATCTCACATGCCACTCGGTACCGATAAAACTGATATTAATCATTTTCGGTGAATCCCACCGTTACCCGATCCTACTTTAAAAAAAAAATATTTATCCCAACTTTATTTTACATAAATATATTTTTTGATTAAGCCATAACAAATGCGCGTAATTGTGATTTATTTTTGTAATGTTTTTTTTCATAATAAAAGTTAAATTCAGCAAATTTTTGAAAATATAAAGAAATAGGCAAAAACGAAATTAACAACGCTTTCTTTTTTTTCTATTTAGAAAATTTGTAAATTAATTTTTACTGCAGTGTTTTTTAGGAATAAGGGTTTATAGGCGTACCTTGGTGCTAATTGCTTTGTGGAAATTGTATGACAGGTTCTAAGAGAAGAAGCTTATAAATTATTTATACTAATTATTTTTAATATAAATTTTTTTAAAATAATTTTGTGATTAACAAATTATAATTAAAAAAATAATTAATTAAAATAAAGAAATAATTGCAATGAAAATAAAGTATAACAACGATTTATATTTGCTTGTAAAATAATATTCGCGTTTTATTATAAAAAAAGAGGATCAGTAGAGAAACCTAGAACCTGCTCAATTTTTCTTAAATATTGTTTTATTCATATTAGAAAATAAAATGTATAAAATAATGTAATTTATCATAAGTGTATGCATGTAGCTAATATAAGCCACAAACTAAAAAATATAAAACTTCCTCATGAAAACTTGTGGTCAAAATTCTGGTTAAGTGTAATATAATTTAACATAAAATTTATACAAACATCTACAGAAAGCAAATGCATTCCCACCCCCTCTTCTGCGTGATCCAAGACTCTAGTAGTAAAGATAGAATTATATTTCTTTATTAGCAAAGATAATAGAAAATATAAGGCTACATTTGGATAAGAGCATACTAAAGTTTAAAGGCGGGGTCTTGAGAATTTAAGAAATTTAATTGGCCGGGCAAATCGGGCATGAAAGTTTTCGGGCTGAACCTTAAAATTTATGCATAATTATCAAACAGGAATGATGATAAAACAAATATTGACAAAGGTAATTTTAAATACACATTAAAGGATAACAAATATAAAAATATGATATTAGGAAAATATTATTCAAAGCTATTTTTCTTTCAAACATGATTTTTCCACCATGAAAAACTTAATAATTTAATTCTAGTTATGCTTGTACAACTGAAGTTATAAACACTATAATATATAAATATAATTTTAAAGAACTATTTGAAAATTTAATAATAATTGTTGTAATTGTGGTAATATTCAAATTTACTAGATTAAGGAAAACGCCAGACAGGCAAATTACTTTTAAACAAAATTACGAAGCCGAAAGATATTCAAATCTACTCAAGAAAAAAGAATTAAATCTCGGTACAAATTGAGACTATGCAAATGTTGATTAAAGAAAAAGGATATATAATGGAGAAATTATGATGCGAAAAAGGATGATTAGATAATTATTTTTAACTTAAATTTACTTTTTATTATATTAATTTTATTTTTCTTATATTAATTTTATTTTTTCTTTTATTTTGATTATGTTTTTCACTTTGTATTTAATTATATTTATTATTATTTAATAAAGGATTCAACTATAATTTTAGTATATATTTTATTTTATATTTAGGTTTTGATTTCCAATGTCAAATCACGCTTTCTTGACAATAATGAATATTAAACGCTATGATAGCGTAATGATGAGAACGGTAACAGTTTTTGAGCAATATCAATACGATATTATAACCGATTGACAAGACAACACTAAAACGCAATTATCACTAAACGTACAATCAATTATAATTTACCTAGAGATACATTCACTACTTTCAACTTATTAAAAATATGCATGCTAGATACAGTGGTCCCTACAATGGGGGGGGCGGAGCAATTGCTTTTAAAAATTTGAGTAGAGGTACATTTTTTTAAAAATATTTATTTTTAAAAATTTAATTTTTATTGTTTTACTACACTCATCCAAAACAAAGTGATTCCTGATTTATGATATCGGAACTAGACCTCGTGATTCCGTTATAATTAAATAAAATAATAAGTGGTGAGAGAGGGGGGGGGGGGGTTATATTATTATATTTTGGTCGATGTTTAACAAATTAGGTTGTTATCCGAGATTTCTTGTCATAAAATTATTTCCCAATTTCAAAATATGCTCAAAAATATTAACCAAAAATTACAAATGCTTAATTCATAATTGAAAATATAATATAAGAGATGATAAAAGGACAGACTACATTAGAAAAAGACATGGTGGGCTTAATTTTAACGATATAACGCAACGCTTTGAAATGGTAGCTTTTAAGAATATTTCTCAAAATTTGATTAGCAAAGTAATTTTTAATGATGAATCGATGAAATTTTTAAATTAAACTTCATTTTTTCTACACCAAAGGGAATGAAGGAAATGTTAACCTTTAAAGATAAAATATTGATGAATTTTACCATATAAATTCAAGTCAAATTTTTGAAGAAATGTTTAAGTTTCGAAATATTTATAAGATGGCTAAAACGGGATGTATACACGTGACCTAGAGATTAAAGAATCTAAAGATTTGTTTTGTCAGATTTTGAGAATTGTAAATTTATTTAATTAAAATATGTTTACTAATACATTATTTAGCTTCTTCTTCTGATGATGATAATTCTGAGACTTATGATTCAGACTGGAAAAATTATTCATTTATTTTACCTATCGTCTACTAAATTTGTCTGCTTCCCAAATTTTACAATTTTATATAAATATTTATTAACCATTTCTACTACCTCAAGTACTACCAATGATATATATAACTATAGATTGGCGATCATGCATAAAAAAACGTCCACCTATTGAAATCAGCTGTAGCGCCATTTTGTAGCTTGTACGTTGATCAAATGCCTCAATAATAATACTAATTTTTAAAAATTTAACAATTTTATATCTAATAATTTGTTAATAATGTAATTATGTAAAATAATCAAATGAATCCTAACCTCAACTGATCTTCAATTAAATTACATTGGTATTCTATAAAATAAAAAAACTCAACATTTAATCCAATAGTAGTATATAATATCATTAAATTACTTTCACCCAGAAATTATTCAGAAACATAGATTGCTACGATATCACTGAAACAAAAATCACCAAAATTATACCCATACAAAATATTCCATACTTATATCTAATACACCCTCAAATATTCAACCAAATAAAGTCCACTGCCTATATTTAATTGCCAAAAAAACTTATCACATGACTCAATCAATAAAATACTTCTTTCAATCAGTTTTTAGTTAATTTATCTACTTGATTAATATATTATTATAAAAATAAATTTATTTTTAAACATTCCTCAACCATTATTAGAAAATCTAATTTATTTTATACATATTAATTGCATATATCAAAATCATTTATTTTTTTATATATATTTGTTAATTTTTCTTATAAAATTAGTTTTTATAATTTTATCAAATTCACTTGATGTTTCAAAAAAAATCTTACTATCCACTTATTGTTCATTTATGGAATCCTTATTATTAAATATAATAATATTTTATGATTCATATCTTATTAATAAATAAAAATGATGCATCGTTATTTATTGTAGTTGCTGGTACTTTTAATTTTAGTTAAGTAATTTATACCTTAAAATAATAATCAAAATTTATATAAAAAAAGAGATCTGTATAGATATAATTAAATAAAATCTACAAATTTTGTTTTACTAATAAGAGAAATCAGTGTTAATTTTTTTCTTACTTTTTTAACTTATTTTTATTTTGTATTATTAATTTTATTATAAAGGATGAACCAAAGATATACTCTAAAAGTAGATGAAGATCAATTAATTACGTTAAGAAAATAAGATTTTATAAAAAAATATCCTGTCAATTAAAAAATTATTTTGGATTATGTGTTCTAGATGAAATAAGTTAAACCATCTTAAAAGATGGGTTGAGAGCTCATCTCACTTAATTTTTATTGTAATAATCATTTATAATTTTTTTTGTTTTAATTATTTCATCTTAATTATAAATGACAAATGAAAACATCTTTTATTTTTTTTTCAATAAAAACATAGTGTAATAATAACATTTTTTGCATGGGTATAAATTATTATATAAATCATTTAAATAAGGTTTATACAATAAATATATAAAAATATAAATGTGTACACTTTAAAAAACAAAATGTATTTTTAACAATATGATGATTCACATTCATATTATCTTTGATTATAAACATTCATCCTTTTTGATTCTATCATCACCTATAAAAAATAAAATATATTTACATTAGCATAGATTATATATAATATCATAATTTTTATAATATGTCTTATATAAGGCCTGTTCTTTATACAATATAATTTTTAAAAAATAAAAGAAGATATAAATATTAATTTACATGACTTATTGATTATTAAATTGTATTGCTTTTGTAAGATTTTGCCTCATACCAGTTATCAATTCCTGGTTTCTTCAAGTCAGCAAAATGGAAAAATCTAATATTTAAATATCTTTAAAAAAAATAGTATTAAAACTAATAAATGATTACCTTTGAACAATTAATTTTACAAGAATTTGAAAATGGCTGTAACCAATCTCATGTTCATTAATATGTTCAGTAAGATCAATAAAAATATTTGTACCAATTATTGTGGAAAAAACCAACACTTCCATTTTTTTAATAATATTTTTACGTTTAATATCATTTTGATAAGTTCTAAATGAACTTTCACAAATTCGGCATAATATAGACATACTAGATGAAGGAATCATTAACCCCCCATTATACTATATTTATTAGGCATAAAATTTTTTCTATTTATAGCCTGTAACCATTTTTCCAATAATTCTTTGGATTTTAATGGAAATCTATATTTAAAAATAGGTGAATAATAATGAGTAAAATATAAGATATATTTATGATAGATAGTATATAAAAATCAATATAAATATCAGATCGGTTATTAGTAATATAGTATTGAATCAGTGAAAATTTGTTGATTGGCAGAGCCTCTATTAATATATATATGGTTTACATATTTCTTACAAATATTTAAAATGAATGAAACTGTATCATAGTAAATATGTATTTTAAAATGGCTAACTTAATATTTTATCCAGAAAAATATTTAGGCAAAGTTCAAAATAGAAATCTTATCAACTCAATAGGAAGAAGCATTATTTGTCCTAGCAATAAAAATGAGAAAACTTTATATTTTTACTAAATAAGGATTTTTTTTCAATGTTTGTAGCTTATTAATGCTTTATGTAATAAATATGTTGCATATAAAAAATAATATATATACTTATGATAAGAAATATGTGTATTAGATTCTATTTTATATGTTTTATTACAATTATGAACACAGCACACTCCCATTATCTAATTAAATAATAAATGATAGTGATATTATAAGATCTGTTTTGCATGTATCCTAAGATGCATTAACATAAGATTTATAAGTCCATGCAGGATTAGGTTAAACTATATTTTAAAAAATTAAAAGGTGGGTTAGTCTTAGATTCATTTTTTAAATATAATCACCTACTCCACCTTCATAAAAAAAGTCTTATGAAAATTTAAGAATAAAAGATACTATAAAATATTATATCATAAATCACCTTTAAAACTAGACTTGTTTTCTATATATATTAATATTTCTTGCTGACAAATAATGGATAACCAAACTACAAAATGGCGCTACAGCTGATTACAATGTGTGGACACTTTTATAATGCATTGAATGAATGAATCGTCAATCTATAGTTATATATATCATTGAGTACTACCGATAGGGTAATATGTAAAATTAAATTAATTAAAATAAGACTTTGTGGTACCATGAATGATCCATTTCTTAATAATTTAAACATTTTATCAATGAATTTTTTATTATTTAAACTATTAAATATTGATGAAATTATAAATTCTTTCGCTTTCTCTTCCCATAATTTACTTAAATTATTAATTTAAAATAATACTTAAATATAAATTTTTTTACATTGTATTTATATTGATGATTATTTTAATAGACATAGGTTCCTTTTTAATGTGGCCCTGGCAGCGCCTTGCTAGTAACCAGTATTCCCTTTTTTAGTTGACATTTATAGTTTCTTTCAAGACGATGGTTAAAACACCACCATTAAATGGTTCTCAACACTCAACCCCCCTCTCCCATCCCGAAAATTTAGATGGATTGAAATTATTTTTGAAATTTATGGGAAATATAATTAACCATTTTTCGTAATGGGGGGGGGGGGGTGGAGGAATTCTTAGGGGGGTATTCTACTTCTATCGCTTAGAAAGTGTAGGAGCGACTGTTTAGATAGTATTTTAAAATTTTACAATATTCACGTCTATAATTAATTTGATAATTCCACATGTCACATAGTATAATTCATTTATTTATACAACCATGATCATGATATAAATTATTATAATAGATCTTTCTATTGCATTAATTTTAGGCAGTTAAACATTTTTACCCGATTTTATACATACATATATATATATATATATATATATATAAACATTATAAAACATATCTAATTAACGAATATAGTAATTCATAATATATAAATAAAAAAATAACATATTTTCATAAATATATTTCTATTATATTAATATTATCTATATATATATTAAATTTAATTATATATGTAATTTCTAGATTACTTATAACGTCGTATATTTATTTAATCTATTAATGTTTTATTTTATAATTTGTAACTCTATTCATACAAGGTTCACATATTTTTAAACTGACAAAGGCCCTTATTTTATCTTTATATATTTTTTTAAAATATAAGATGTCAATTTAAATTGTAATCAATTGTTTTATATTATTTTATATTATTTTAATAATTTTTAAAATAGAGTATACAATAAAATTAGAATTTCTAGCTTATTTATGATATAAGTTTGCTAAATATATTTAGTTAAGTTTATTATAAACCATTATTCACTTTTATAATTAAAATAAATATATATAATATTTGGCCTTTAATATTCCAAACTAAATTAAATTTGTAAAAATGTCATTTCATATGTTAACTATCAAATCTTGATTCCCGGCTGGTAGATTGAAAATCATGGTAAATATATAAATATAATATCATCTAATGTTTTATAGTTATATTCTACGCAAGCTAAGATAGTAAAACCACATGGAGAAGAGCCGGATAAGTTTGAACAAAGTATATCTCAAGCATTGTTAGAATTGGAGATGAATTCTGAGCTCAAACCTCAATTAAGAGAATTACATATATCCGGGGCAAAAGTTGGATTAATTTTATTTATGTAAGCTTAATAAATTTTAGGAAATTGAAGTTGAAGGCAAGAAAGTTATTATTATATACGTTCCAGTGCCTCAATTAAAAAGTTTTCAAAAAATTCAAGCACGCTTAGTTCGGGAACTAGAGAAAAAATTTAGTGGAAAACATGTAGTCCTTATAGCCAATCGCAAAATCTTACCAAAACCAACTAGAAAATTAAAATCATCAAAAGGTTCAAAACAAAAAAGGCCAAGAAGTAGGACTTTAACATCTGTCCAGGAAGCATATTTAGGAGATTTAGTTTTCCCAGCCGAGATTGTTGGAAAAAGAATACGATATCGGTTAGATGGCTCAAGACTTATCAAAGTTCATCTTGATAAAAATCAGCAAACAACACTTGAACATAAGGTTTGTAATATATTTTATAGGTCTATCTTTTTATATTTAGATGTTTATTTTACTTATATATAATTTATAATATTTCATAGGTTGATATATTTGCCAAAGTCTACAAAAAGCTGACTGGTAAAGAAGTTGTCTTTGAGTTTGTTGTCTCTATATATTGAACCAATTATGTTTTATATTTATAATTGAAAGTGAAAATTAATAAAAAAATATTTAAAAAATTATAGTAAATCATTGCTAAATATTTATTAACCTAAAATTTTAAATGATTGTAAAATGATTTTAGATTGTTATTAGAGTATGATTTTGTTTTATTAACCCTAGAACACCTAACTTGGTTTGGAGTTAGTTAATATTTATCTCTTCCTATTTATGAATTAATTTAAATGGTTATCACTTTAAAAGTTAACATAATCTTTTAAAAAATTTTCCTAAATATATAACATCAATATCATAGACAGGGGGTTATATTGATATATAGGCACAAAAATTTTATTTTATTTTTTTAAACTGCTGTTATTTTTATTAACCCTACACTACTAGTCTTATGGATGACTCATTTTAATACTTATCTATCTTAAAATTACTATGATATAAAATTTTAAATAACTTTAGCAATTGAGCTTCTGGAAAATTTTTTATTGCAAAATAATCATAAAATGTATTACAAATATGATCATGTAAAATAAATTATAAAAATAACTTTGACAGCATGATGCTTGGTGTATTTTAAGATTCTTTTTCGCAGTATCCATAGATTGTTCTTATCATTTGCCTGCAAATATTAGGAAGATTTTCCCTTTTTTCCAATGGGTGTTTCCCTAGAATATCTCTGATATGATTGTATATAGGGCATCAAAGTGATGAAATCAATACTTATGTTTTGACTTATCATTTATAATTTTTATGAGCAAAGTGTTCTAATTCAGAAAATAATGACAACAGAAATTATTTTTTTAATAAAAATAAATAGGAAAACAAATTATTATATACAAGCTCCTCTAAATATACAAATTTGTCAAATGCTTCATAATATGAATGTGTTATATTCTTAGGTTAATACTATTTTAAAATAAATTACAATATGATTATTACTTTATATTTTACGAAAAACAAGTTCCTTATGATGTGATCCTAATATATATCTATCAGACCTGTAGAGGTGTCATTTACATGGATCAGCCCAGATTTTTTTTAAAAAAATTTATGACTTGACCTGAGTTTAATAATTTTGGGCCTGACCCATATTTTTTTGAATTATATTTGACCTGGTGTATACAAAAATTAACCTATTCGGTAAGTTTCAGCAAGTATCATTTAATAAGTGTATTACACATTTTATCTTTTTTATTCTAAACAGTTATTTAGTATATTACAAATTGATACTATAAAAAATTTGTGTAAATAATATATTGTATTAGTGATAATTTTAATTTGTATTTAAAAAAATGCATGATAAAGCTAATATTTTGAGAATAATATATTGAATTTATAAAAAAATAAAATTGATATTTATAAAAATAAAACTAATATTTATAAAACCTCTTTAATTAATATAGTCTTTTATATAGTTTTCCCTCATCTTGTGAATTGGCCTGACAACATACTTAATTTCCTGAATTGTGATTCATCCACAACATAAAGTTCCATACCCTGGTCTAAATTTTTTTCTTAACAGACAGTCTGGCCTGGCCAGGGTATATTAAAAAAAAATCAGACCTGGATATATTTTAAAAAAAAAATTTTCAGGCCTGGCATGGGTATATTTTCTAAAATTTAATATACGGACCTAGCTTGCAGGTCTGATATCAATATACAAATGATTTATGAAAAATTTATTATGGAAATAGATAGCCATAAAGAATATATAAAAATAAGTGCCCTAATTGCTATAAGGAAAAAATGAGATGGTCAGAAAATTTTTACAAAAAAACAGGTGGGCTTTCCAAATCTCTGATATCTTATAAATAAAATGGAAAGAAATAATATCTACAAAAACTATAATTCGTTTTTTTATTGCAAATTGAAATCCAATACTTAAGATATAGTTTTTATTTTGTTTATTGACTGGAAAAACTGCTTAATAGGCACCACACATTAGTTTCAAAATATTCAGTGCTTTAATTTTTGTTCTAGAATTACGTCAAGTCAATCTTGGCAATTTTTTTTTAATTTGCCAATGTGATTTTCTATAAACCATCAACCAAAAGGGTTAAAGCACTAAACATTCACACTTCTATTGTTTTTTCGCTTCTAATTGGTTACTTTTTTTGGTTCCTTTTGGAATTAACGAATACTAGGGAGTAGGCCTATTCAAAAACGAATTCGAATCGAATAGTGCATTATTCATATTCGATTCTTTTAAACGAATCGAATAATTTACTATTTGAATTCGTACGAATAATAAAATCTACGATTTGTATTAGATTCGAATAATTCGAATTAATTTTTTTAATAAAATAAATTGTGCTCAAATATATTGATAAATTTTTTTATTACAAATTTGATTTTAAACAGAAAAAATTATAATAATATGTAATAAATAATATATAATCAAGTTATAAACAAAATTAAAATGTATATTAATTTAATTTATAATTTGAGGCAAAGAGTTTTTCTTATATTTTCTTCCTTATATGACATGCGTTTTGACAAAAAATTAGTTCCAACTCCTTGTATAGATAGATAATCCCTTGCCATTTTCGAGAGTATAGGGATCCGATATGCATTTGCCTTCCTCCACATTAAAGGGTCAGTATCACTCTTTGCTCTTGGTTCACTCAGATAAAAATCTATTTCACACAGTTGAATATTATTTTGTTTAAAAACAATGTCTAGCTTGTTTTTTTAAATTTTATCCTTATTTGTTTGACAGTTATAATTATGAGCTTATAAAATAAAATCATATTTAAATGGGGATAAATTAAATACCTGTATATCTATTGTAAATCTCTTTAAATTTCTCCATTAACTTGGATATATCATAATCAACAGATATTGATTTTAAATATTCTACTTTAAGCCTAGGATCTAATATTGTGGTTATTATTGCATCATCGGCAGTTAAATTATAATAGCCCAACAATTTATCACATGCTACTTTGAAACTATTGTTAAAGGATTTATGGAAACCAAGTTTTTCATTTTTTAGATGTTCAATTAAAATATAATAAGGTATAACCAAATTATAAGTAGGATAATTCTCCCCACACAACATATTTGTAGTTTCATATAAAGGCAATAGAATAGCTTTAATTTTTATAAGATCCTCCCATTCTTCCTATATGTTATCAAAGTATAATATTATTACCTAATTATAAATTTTAGTTTACCTCTGATATTTGTTTTTCTTGAAGAATTTTAATATTAGTTATTACTTCAACTAATTTTGTTATAGCAGGCTTTAACAATAAGCCCCTTTCAATCATTTGGTAGATGCTATTCCACCTTATTTCACAATCCAATAATGGTTTTAAAAAATTTAGGGGAGGATATAGGGAACTACATATATTTTTTATAAATTTAGTTTTTTACGGGAATTATGAATCATTCTAATAATGTTTCTTAGTTTTAGAAAAAGGCTCGTTTTAAGCCGATTTTTATAAAACGGCTAACTCAGTTTTTTATCCAGAAAAATATTATGCAAACCTGAAAATTTTGCTCATAGAAGGAGGAAAGGTTTAGACATATAGTATCGAAATTTCGAGGCTTAGTCAATGTTTTCTGGCGAAAATATTGAGTTAGCCGTTTTTAAAAATCAGCTCAAAACGAGCCGTTTAACATTAGTTTTAGAATTGAAGGATCTAAAAATTTTTAAATTTCTTTTGATATTAAATTAATTACATGGGCAAAGCATCGGATGTGCCTATTTTTATTAATAAATATTTTAAAGAAAATGTATCAATAAATGTTTTATTATTAGTTGCATTATCTAAAATTATATAAAAAAATTTATTCTCTAAATTATAATTTTTAATTATTTTGACAAAGGCTTTAAATATATTTCACTTGAATGTGTTTCATTTATTGGACTGACATCCAAAATTATGTTATTTATTTTAAAATTATTATCAATAAAATGGGCTGTTAGCCCTAAAAAAGGAACCTGTGTTGGGCAAGTCCAAATGTCAGATGAAAAAATAATCTGATTTTGATTTTTAGATATTATTTCCTTTACCAACTGTTCTTTTTCTGCAAATGTATTATACATGTGCAATTTAAGAGTATTGGAGCATATTGATTTTACAGAACAATCAAGATCACTTATAAAATTTTTAAAATCATTTGAATTAATAATTTTAAAAGATATATTATTATTTATAAATAATTTTAATAAATTATCCTTTAATTTTTTTTAAAGAATTTGGTGTAGACTTTAAAAAAATGTCAATTTTATTATTTTTTTTACTAAGGTGTGAATGAAACCTATTATAATGATTAATAAGAGGAGATGTTGTTTTGCCTTTACATTTTATAATATACTTGCAATGATTGCAAGCAGCCTTTTCACCGTCTTTAAGGATTTGATATTGATACTATATGATTGCTTTCTTTTGTGAGGAAATTTTCTTATCTTCAACATCAAGCATAATTTCATCAGAAGCATTCTCCTTTAACATAATTAGGCTAGTAATAATTATTGTAGAGATGTAATATATTTTTATATACCTCTGGTGTGTGTAAATTTTTAATATAATATATTATGAGATTCAAAAAATAAACTTTTCCTGAGATTCAAAAAATGTGGCAAATAAAATTTTTTTAAATATTCAAAAATGTGGCAAATAAAAATTTTTTAAATTTGTGCTAGAATTTTTATAAACGCAAACACATCACCTGTCAGATTGGCTGGTCAACAAATAGAAATGACAAATGTTAGATTTATTAAACAATTTATTAAATATTACGAATAATTCGTTTTATTCGAATCGAATAAATGATTATTCGTATTCAGATAAAACAAATAATTTATTATTCGTATTCGTAATTATTCGATTCGATTATCAATCGAATCGAATATTGGAATTATTTTTGAATAGGCCTACAAGGTAGGCACTAAAAAAATTTTTTTTAAATATTCTCCATTCTGGAAAGATACCAATTTTTCCTTATTTTGCATAAATGTTAAAAATTTATGTTAAACTGTTAACTTTATGTCAGAAAATCACTTAAATATTTTTTAAATATAAATGTGTTAGAGAGTTCGACTAA